GCACAGCTTGTTAGGTACATGTGACATCGCTACTCTGTGAGGTGAACTGGCTCCCAGTAAGCTTCCAGGTACAATTCAAGCTGCTGGATATCATCTTTAAAGCATTACATGGCATAAGACTAGGTTTCTTGCAAGATCATCTTCTCCCAAGAACATCTGCCTGTCTAACACGCTGCCATAGGGAAGGCCTACTCTGGGTTCCCTCTTTCAAGCATTGCCATTATATGGGATCTGGAAGTGTTCCTTCCTGGTGGCTGCCCCTCTTCTTTGGAACAGTCTCTCCCCTCACCAATATATGAAGCCCCCCCACTTTCCTTGCCTTTAGAAAACAATTAAAGCATGGCTTTTTCCCCAGGCATTTGGGTCCTGCTGATTAGAGTCTTCTTTTGGTTGTTTAATTATCATGTTTTGTTGCCATTTTACATTTTATAAACTGCACTGTTTTTTAACATTGTATGTGGGGTTTTTTGATATGGTTTATTGATTTATTGTTTTTTGTTGAACGCTGTGCAGAGTCACATTGTTTGAGTTGGGTGGCCCTATAAATCCAATGAGTAAATAAATAAAACTGTTCGCTCCCAAATACTTGATTAAAGCTGGTGTTGATTTTTTAAATAAAATATATACATGCTTATATTTATATATGTATATAATTATATAAACATGTATACAAAATTGATTTGCAGACTCTTCTGATACCTAACATTTCAGGACTTTTATTTTTGTAAAAAGTGCTTATGATCCAGAAGAACACGGTGAAGTTATGTCACCTTGAATTTTAAATGCTTCTAGTTTTTAGCATATTTTTCAAATAAATTGGCAGCTTTTGACATCTTTATAGGATGCTATAAAGTAGCCATTTGCTCATTTTTCAACTAAGGCTCAAAAAACGTACTATTTTATTGCTCTAAAAGCATGTACTTTTAATACAACGCATGAGCCCAACTGGGGATATAGAATCTGCCATACTGTAGTTAATATAAAATTAACGGGACAGTGTTTAAAGCTGTGTCCCACTGAAAGACATTTTTATTTTCTGAAATTCAGATTTCTACTCCCAGACATGATTCATAGTCAAACTGATCTGTATATTAAGTTTTTAATTTATTGGTTGTATAATGTTTCTGAAAAGGAAAACCAGGTAATATCATCAAAGATTTTTTTTATCATCAGCTATCATATCAAAATAGCTTTCCTCACCATTTATCTTTGGCAGCTACCAATTTTTTACTGTTTCCAGGACTTTTATGGAAATATAATTCCAAAACAGACAGCTCTCTATAAGCCTTCTGGGTTTCCCCCCCCCCCCTCCAAGCTAGTTCTTTGGAAATTTATACTGTTTTATTTACATTTAGTCACTGTAAAACCTGGGGCAATGAGGACAAATTTTGGATAATCACAAGAGACTTCTGAATGATTCATTTCTGAGGGCCAGAGTCATCATGCTCATTCAGATTAATGTTTATGCTCTTTTTATTTGCTTTTATTAATACTAGTAATTTCAACTTATACTTTTTAATATATAGCTTAATAGTAACTTTTACAGATGAATCTGTATTAAAATGTGTGGCAGTGTGAATTATTCCTGTTCAGTGTTTGAGAGAGTCAGCAGTGCTATACAATGCTTGTTTATTTATTTATGAAGTCTATGCCCAGCACCTCAATCCAACTGGACTCTACAGTAGACAGTTTATAGCATATGTAAAAAATACAGCAAGAATAATATGGTAATATAAAATATAAACAGTATATTACCATATTAAATCAAAAACTTATATTGACTGCTCCAGAATCAATCCTGAAAGGCCCTCTAGTTTTTGGGCAGCCATAAAAGTGGAGTCCCTCTTTGCCTCAGTGGATGAGCTTTTCCAAGGGAGGGGAGCCCCTACAGAGAATGCCAGACTTTGGGCTCTCTCCCATTGCACTTACTGGTAGGTGGGGACCTTGAACAGTTATTCTTTCACTGTCTGGGTTGGATGGGAAAACCTAATCAGGGAAGAGTAGTCTCTTAGATATCCAGGCTCCATGCAGTTAAGGGTTTCAAAGGGTAGTAATCAGCAATGTTCAGCTTCCCTACTTGTCAATCTAGAATTGCCAAATTCTAGCCCCCCAAATAATATATATATGCATATATGTACATATGTTTGTTCATGTTTCTGGAAAAGAAGCCATATTCCCAACAAAGAGCAAAGCTGGCTCAACAGAATTAAATAAATTGTTAAATGGATTAATAGGTTTTAATCCTATTAATAACTATTACTGAAATGTAATTGCCTGTAAAATAAGACTTCCCATTTATAAAATCAGTTGTCCCTTATCCCTGTATATAGATTCAGAAATCATTTTCTCTACAGAACTCTACAAAAATGGATGTGGAGTCTGGAGAGTCAGAGGTTTCCTTTCAATAGCATCTACCTTTGTTAATATAAGATAGATACATTTAAATGTGAAAAACAAGGCTTGCATACATAATGGTTAGATACCATTGAGTCAGATTTGACTCCTGATGATTGCATGGACAAATACTTGCCACTTCAAACTTTCTTCAGCAGTAATCTGTAGTTCTTGCAATGACATTCCAATACAATCTGATTGACCCCACCCACCTATCTGTTGTGTGCTCTCTCTTCTCAACTTTGCCAATCATAATAATTGTCCTCTTGCATCATATGCCCAGTGTATGTCCATTTCTGCTTGCCTGTTGTTGCTTCAAAGGAGCAGTCAGCCTTTATGTGGTCCAGGACTTTAACCAGTTATTCATGTGGTCTACAGGATGTTAATAATCATCTCCAGATCAGAGATGGCTGTGTTCTTTATCTTGCTGTTTTCAGTGTCCAGCTTTCACTACTACTGTACTTTACTACTAGAAAAAACATAGCTTTTTCTCAAAACTGATTTGATCTTTGTTGTCCTTATTCTTAATTTTATTTTTATTTCTGGAGCGTGCTACTTGTCTTTCTTCATAACCCAAGAAAACAAAACTGTCTACTTCAGTTCACTAAGGTAACTGACAGTACCTTTGTCTTCTTAATAATTAATATTAATGTGTATTGTTCACTTCCAATGTTTACTTTCAGTATGAGCTCTTCTAAACCTTCTTTACTTTGGGGTAATAGAGTTGTACTAATAATATCTCAAATTATTAAAGTTTCAATCTCCAACCTTGATTCCAGCCGTTGTCTCTTCTAATCCACTCTTCTCAGCATATATTTGTTGTATAAGTTAAACAGGTGTACAGAGAATATTCATTCTTCTCTCCTTCTGTTTTTTGAACACTTTCTTCAAATTCAGTTCTTATGGCAGCTTCTTGTTTATCATACAAATTCCTCCCATTTAGTTTTCCTCAGCCAAGCCTCACTGCCTCATTGTTTCTACTAGAGATCCTGGCACTGCCTCAGAGGGAGCCCTGGTCATGGAGCTTGAGAGTGGGTGGGGATTCTGGAAGGTGGCACTGCTCAGTGTGAAAGGCTGGCATCTGTTCTACAGGCATACACTTTCACAACGTTCATGTTCACTGGGTTTCCATAGTTTTCATAGATATGATCCTGCCATTTATTGGATTATAGCCAAACTCATACTTAGTAATATCCTTTTTGAGTATCACTCCTAGTCTGTTCCTTCATATAGTGTTTCTCAACTTTGGCAGCTTGAAGCTGTGTGGACTTCAACTCCCAGAATTTGTCAGTGTTGAGAAACACTGATATAAACAGACGACCAGAATAGCATATGATGCAGCAGTTTTGAGTTAATGTTTGAGTTAATGCGACCTAGTCCAATCCATTGTTTTAAAACTGAATCGTTACAGGATAATTTTAAATTAAAAGTTAATTTGTCTGGGTTTTTAATTTTTTTTTCTCCAGCCATATTTGATAGCAGTGATCTTTTTTGTTTGTTTTTTGTTTTGTTTTGTTTTGTTTGTTTTTACACTGAATGTATTATTTGTGGCCGAGGGAAAATCTTAGAACGGGTCAGGCAAACATTTGTGGCCAAAGTTACCATATTTTGGAAACAATGAAAGCTACAGTGTAGGTAGAGCCAGACAGAGTATGTGGATGGGCTTGATTTGCAAATATGTAATGTAGTTGAGTGATTGCAGAAGAAAGAAATACTCATAAAAGATGCAGGATTGGCTATGAGGTATGCCTTTCTGTGGCATTTTGTGGTAATGTATTCATGCATTCTGGTCATCACCTCAAGCTACATTTTTATGAATTTATAAGCTTGTATTGATAAATAAAAACCAAGTTGTAGCTTTCATGTGAATATAATGGATTTTCCTATTTTTAACTTCCAGGCAAGGATTATGATAAGAAGTAGATGGATTACATATTGCTCTAGAGATGCACAAACATTTTATTTCTGGAAGTGAAGTAGTCCCTTTAAGGAATTTGCATTCAGGCCTGATTTTCTCCTTCCCCATCTCTAAGGGAAAGAAGATATTTCGTTTGGGAGACAAATGAAATAACGTGGTAGCCAAAATTTCTTTGACATTGCCTGGCTTCTTTTCTCAGCCACCTTCTTTGCAAAGTGAATGCTCCTATATTCTGATCTTGAAAGTGTATATTTCCTTAAATAAATGGTATAGTAGGTAGTAGAAAGAAATATGTTTGAACAAAATCAAGGAAGCCAGAGCCCTGTAAAAATACTTCTGTTCAAATGTTCATGACATTCTTTAGTGGGATTTCAGGAAAATGATTTAGTACTTTTCTGTAATCATGTTATGTTTCTTAATGTCTCTTGGAATAATATATATATAACTCATTATATTCCTAACTCTTTTAGTACTAATATATAGAGTAAGAGGAGGTTGACTGTAAAAAAAAAACAATTGAACTTATTAACAAAAACAACCAGAATATAGTTCAGAGTAAAAAAACACACTCCTTTTACTTCTTATATTAGAGAATAGTGCTAGTAGTAATCAACATTGAAGCGTATTCCTACTTTGTTTTTAGTTAAACAATTTGTGGAATCTGACATAATATTTTTTTCCTCCCCAGTAACTTTTAGAAGTACCAAATTTCTTGCTGATGCATTGAAATCATTTTATCAGTTGCTAGAATGTTCAAAAATGAATATCAGGTAAGGGAGAAATATTTCTATTTATTTATTTTTTTTGTCTGTGTTATTTAGAAAAAAATGGAAGTGTTGAAAAGACTATTACTGAATAGTATGTAGTATTGGAAAAATGTGCTTAGATATATAAATATTCTCTGTGTCTCTTCTTTGAAGACTTGAATAGGCATCCACAAATTTTGAGAGTCTTTGATTGCTTATCATTAGTTTTAGTCACTCTCAACCTTTTCTACTTTTCTGATCCAACCTGAAAACTTGAAGAAAGGCAAGATTACAATTAGGAAGTAATTAACTATTGTGGATGACAATTGCATATGTAAAATTTTTGACAGTGCATTCCTTACCTGCAGAATTCCTATTACTTTGAAACCATCCATTTTATAAAAATTACATGCTTAACACTGTTTAATACACCTTGTATATAAACTGCATATTAAGTGCATAAGACATTATTTCTTCTCCTTGTCTTAGAAGAATTAAGCATGATGACAGTGGCCAGCATGGTGTGGTGAATAGAATGGTAGTTTCAAAATCTACTAGATCAAAAACCCAGTGTATGGCTTTGGGCCAGTCACTCTCTGTCAGTGTAATCAATCTTTCAGGGTTGTTGTAAGGATGAAAGGAAGGGTTGTCACCAAGGTATGCTGCCTTGTGTTCCTTAGAGAAAAGGGTTAGAAATAAATAACATTTTTCTTATTTATTGTTCTTTGCCTGAATTATAAAATGTTTGTGGATATAGGGTTGGCTACACATTTTCAAGTTGGATTTTAATATGGTAAAAGCTAATAGAATTATGTTGTAGAGAGTCCAGAAAAACTCATACTCAAGTAAGATAGATAACTGATGAGGCTGGATAGACATGGGGGGGGGGGTCTTTAATTTGGACTTGTGAATGAATGAGGGATGGACTCAGTGGCCTAAATTTTCCCTTCCAACTCTGGGGAATACAAACATTTAGGGAACTTATAAATCTAATAAATAAATAAAATAAACTTTTCCCATATCAAAGTATCTGCAAAGGACTTTCTGCAGAGAATTCCAAAGTGTATTTTTAGAGTACATACCTTGTTTACAGGGGGCCTTTTGTCCCTCTTTGTCACCTTATGTGAGTTTGTAGCGTGTTCTAAAATACTTCCATCTCCTATGTGAGCTGCAGGTAAAGTCAGATCTGATGTTGATCATTGGCATTGGTTGTGATCTTATTTGTATTTCAGATTGAATCCCACTCCTATATATTTGAGTGGTAGAAATAGCAGAACTGTTTTAGCCTAGCTTTTATATTAAGTGGGATTGATCATAGCTGATAACCTTCAGATTGGATTTTGGTAATGAATTTACGCTGGAGAGTATTTGGCTCATCTAAAATGCTACAGTTACTGGGACTTGGTTTATAGAACATATTATGCCACTATGATACCACTGTTCCAAGTTATTTTTTCTCAACGTGAGGAGTTATATAGTGATTAAATAATAAGTGCCATATGTATTTATTCCCTTTTTTTTTCCAAAATTCAGTGCAAAGTGTTGATTTCATAAAATGGAAAAATAAATACCCAATTTTCTACATACAGAGTATTTAAGAACTAATATTAAAATGATTGTTAAACATAAAAATAAAGAAAAATGTAACTCACCAATTCAGAAATATTATGTTCTGTAGAACTCTAGAATATGAAAGGTGTTCTTGACATGACATCCTGGACAAAACAGCTTATTTCAGGGCTGAACTACCCCAGGACATCTCAATTTACTTCCCATTCAGTTTACTTCCATAAATTGCAGAACTACCCTAAGAATGGACAGAGGAGGAAAAGAATGTTCGGGACTTTTCTGGAACATTCTGTTCCCAAATGAATGACCTTTACACGTCCCTATTTATACCTTTATAACAATTTTTATTGCAAAAAATAATCCTAACACACAGTTATTAGTCCCAAATAATCATCAATGCCCTTATTCAGATGTACATATAACTTCCAACATAGCAGCAACAAAAGTCACAAATCCTCTGTAATAAAGTAGTTCTTCATACATACCTATCATGCTATTCCCTTTCAAGATAAGCAGCTTCTTGTACAGCATGGAAAATGAGAAAGAAATAGTAAACAGAATAAATTAAAGGCATGAGATAAGAGGAAAGGAAATAGAGCTGAAACTAATTTATACCAACACTGTTCACGTTACTTCTGTATGTCTCTATTCTTACAAAACTTGCTTGCGTCTACCGCAACTGTACAGAGTTTCGTACACTGTCCTTTCTTCTTTAAAATTCTCACTTCTTTCTTTTAAAGGATCTCATCAGCTCTATCCCACCAACCACAGGTTTTTGTTCTCCTTGCTCTGAAGTAATTCATTCTTCCTTCACATACTAGTTTTGCAGTTTGATGCTCAAGCATTCTGTCTATCTGTCCAACTCACCTCAACATACTTCTTTCATATTGGTCTCTCACGATTATGTTCAAACCACATTCATTTATCAGCCATTCATCACCTTCTTTGATAACTTAATTTTCAGATCCATACTCCACTCCAATCTTTCTAACATTCACTGCAAGTTATTGCAGTTCTCACCCAACAACACAGCATCATCTGCATTCACAGCTCCAACTACACATCTCTAATGTCACCACAATTCCTTAGACATTAAACATAATTATATTAAACAACCAAGTGGCCATCACACATCCATGTCTTACTCCCTGCACAAACCAGAAACATTTATTAAGCATTCCATTTATTCTCACACAGACTTTCCAACATATTCTGTTCTTGAAGACTTGATTTTTCCTTTGGGCTCTGGGCCTGAGCATTAGGTGAGCCTGTTTTTTAAGGGGTGTGATTGTGCAGAGTGGCCTGGGACATTATGCCTTTCTACTTTCTGTTTTCATGTTTTTTGTTTATTGAATTGAATGAGAGATTAGTTACCCAAAGTCACACTACGTATTGGGTGCTATATAAATTGAACAAATCTGTATTTTTGCATTCACTTCTGCTATCTTTCTTTGTGCACTGAGGAACAATAATGCATTCCTCCAATTGTCAGGCTTCACACAGATGTTAAACAACTCCCACAGCTACAAGTCTATAAGCAAACCAAATCCATATTTAACATATTATCCACCCCTGCAGCCTTGTTACTTTTCAATATTCTTACAGCATTTATGACTTCCATCTTTTTTTTCTGGAAACTAACATTTATAGCATTCATTTCAATTCCTGTCTTTGATGTATGACCATCAGTCTCATGCTAACCTCTAAAATGTTCCTTCCAGCATTCCCTCACTTAATTTCATCACCAGTCATTTCATTGCTTTTATTTTTAATTTTGTTCACTCTGTTGGAGGCTCCTTGCTCAGCCCTTTTCACTCCCTAAACTATTCATCATTTCCTTCAGAATTCTACATTTTCTCACCCTTTGAAACTTAACCATTCCTCTCAATACATTCTCTGCAGTTGTCTTTTTCTCTCTATACACATTGTATATCTTTCTCTCATCCTCATTTTTGTAGTTGTCATTCTCTTATATGTGTATTTTTTCTCATCCATAGCCTCTTTCAGTTCATCATTCTACCAAGCATCTTTTTAATGCTTCCTATTAGCATAACTGCACACTTCTATGACACTCTGTAATGTAATTCTTTTCATACTGTTCCAGGCAATTTCCATATCTTCTTTCATTACATTCTGTTGCTATTTTAATTTATCTTCTAGTACTTTTTATTCTTTTTTTTCTTCCTTGTCCTACATGCTCTCTTTTTTCTTTTTCTTTTTTCACTTTTCTACTTTTCCCTTCCTTTTCATGTCCATTCTTTCCCCAGGTTGACTGTTAAAACTTCCAAAGAATGATCTGTCCCACATTCTGTACCTCTTAATGTCCTTATATCCTGCATGAATTCTCTCATACTTTGCCTTCTTTCTTTTCTATATCTACACACGTAAATCATATCTATTCACTTATGCTTAAATCATGTTATGTATAAATATATGTATTTATTTATTTATTATATAATTTATATAGCTGCCCAACTCAACCTTGTGACTCTTAGTAGCTCACTAAACAAACAACAACAAAAAAAACCTTAAAGTAAAAGCAAATATAAATTACAGCGTAACATAAAAACAGTAGTATTGTCTAACCAAAAACTGTCCCATAATCAAAATCCCATGGATGCCTGGCCCAACTAACAACTGGCCCCAATGCCTGAGTTAAAAGCCAGATCTTCAAGGCTTTCTGAAAGGCTAACTGGGTCGGGGCCATCTGGGCAGGCACTGTGATAGAGAAGGCATGCTTCCTTTGTCCCACTAAGTGACACTATTTCACAGAAGAGACTTGGAGCATTTGCACACTGTTAAATCTGGTGGGATGGACAGACACAGTTGGGGATAGGTGGTTCTGCAAATAACCTGGACCCGTACCATGTAGCACTTGATAGGTAACCACCAGCACCTTAAATTGTACCCAGAAGCCTACTTGGAGCAAGCATGCTTGCAAAGCAGTGATGTTACATAGGCGTCCCAGGGTGTGCTCAACACTACTGGCACCACCGCAGTTTGGATCATCTGCAGCTTCTGAATGTTGTTTAAGGGCATCCCCTTGACAGTATATTACAGTGGTCCAACCAAGAAATGACTAAGGCATAAGTGACCATGGGCCATGGACCATCCTCCTATTCCAGGAATGTGCACAAGAGGTATGCAAGATGGATTTGTGCAAAGGCCCTTCTGACCATGGCTGCTACTTGCTCCTCAAGCAGGGAATATGAGTCCTGAAGGACCCCCATTATGGTTAGGGTTGAGCTGAATCCTCTTTTCCCCATCCAGACCTCCACAGCCTCCAGGCATTGGGAAAAAGCCTTGATGATATCACTTGGGCAGCCCAAGGCATAAATTTATAGCAGAACATCATCAGCATACTGATGGTACTTTACCCTGTGCCAACAAATAACCTCAATCAGCAGCTTCATGTAGATGTTAAATAGTGGGTAAAGAGTAAAACCTTGAGGAACCATACTCTGCAGAGGTCTAGGGCCAGACCTTTCCCCACCTACCAACACCAACTGGAACCAGCCCTGGAAGAAGGAGGAGAATCACAATAAAACAGTGCCCCTCACTCCTAACCTTCTAAGCCAGTCCAGAAGGATACCATGATCAAGGACATCGAAAGCCACTGAGATCAAGGAGGACTAGGACAGACACACTGTGCCCACTAGACATCATCTACAAGCACAATCAGTGCTATCTCGGCACTATAACCTGGCCTGAAACCCAACTGAAAGGGGTCTAGATAATCCATTCCTCTAGGGACCTTTGGGGCTGTAAGCATACCACCTTTTCAACAACCTTCCCCAAGAAGGGTAGGTTGGAGACGGGACAATTCTTCGACATTGTTTCATGAATCAGAAGTTCTATATTTTTGTAACATAAAATAGCAAGAAGGATTGAAGAAGAACCTCTGATAATAGATCTGAATATATATGAGGGGTGTATGTGGGAAAACATTGTGATGTTATGTATGTATGTATATGTGTACCTACAGTACATTGGATGTCTGTGCCATTACAGTCAGTCAGACCTAAGGAGCTTACAAGTTCATTCATACAAAACATCATAATACTGTATAAGCGTAATACATATCAAAAACAAATTACGTTATGGTTGTGAGTTGCCCAGAGTTCTAGTTTTAAATGGGCACACATACAAGTATCTTAAATAAATAAGTACAGAATACACAGTCAATGCAACAATACTGTTATCAGCTCCCATCCCTCATCCTAGATAACTTTCATTCATATCAGTCCCTCAGGCTTCAAATGGTCTTCTAAATAGCCAGATTTTAATAGCATCCTAGAAACCTTCTCTCACTTCAGGTGGTTAGCTGGTTCACAGGTGGTTAGCTAGTTCACCGAAGGGGAGACCCTAGCAGGGAATGTTCATCACCAGGCTCCCTCCCATTGCAGCTTACAAGAGATGAGAACCTTCAGCATGCATTCTCTGCCTACACATTTTTGCCAGGCAGATTCTACTGGAGTAGGCAGGCCCATAGACAATCAGGCTTGTTTAGGACTCTAAGGAGAAGAATCAGAATCTTGATCACATTCAGAGAAAGCCGATAATAATGCAACACTAGCAAATTATATGTTCTATTTAGAGAGCCCTGGTTAATTCAGACTAGGTGAAGTTTTTGGATACTTTTCAAGGGCAACCACATTATAGTACAAGGAAAGTTTACTACAACGAGAGCCAGTTTGGTCTAGTGGTTAAGGTACCAGGCTAGAAAGCAGGAGACTGTGAGTTCTAGCCCCGCCTTAGGCATGAAAGCCAGCTGGGTGACTTTGGGCCAGTCACTCTCTATCAGCCCCCAACATCAGACTCAGGCAACAATACGGTCAGTCAGTTTCTGTCGCAACCAACAGATCAATATTTGGTTGATCTAAAAAAAAAAAAAAAGCAGACCCTGCACATGCAGGAAAAGCACTAGGATTAAAAAAAAAAAAAAAGCAGCCCCGGCACATCAGGGAAAAGCACTGGGTTAAAAAAAAAAAAAAAGCAGCCCCGGCACATCAGGGAAAAGCACTGGGTTAAAAAAAAAAAAAAAGCAGCCCCGGCACATCAGGGAAAAGCACTGGGTTAAAAAAAAAAAAAAAGCAGCCCCGGCACATCAGGGAAAAGCACTGGGTTAAAAAAAAAAAAAAAGCAGCCCCGGCACATCAGGGAAAAGCACTGGGTTAAAAAAAAAAAAAAAGCAGACCCTGCACATGCAGGAAAAGCACTAGGATTAAAAAAAAAAAAAAAGACAGAAAGTTACTACAACATGATTCATTTGTGCAGTTACTTCAGTGGTATAAACTAGTGAAATGCATTCCCAGTTTCTGTGGCCAGTTGAGCATACCAATGAAATAAGCTTATAATGATACTTGATATTCATTCTGGGAATGAATATTGAATGGATCTACTCATGATTTAAGTATTATACTTGCTGATTTCATATGACAGTGGGAAAGATCTTTTCTTTTTTTAATTGCAGGGTGGCCCGTTTGTTGAAATCTTCAGTGCTCAAGGCAAGAATACTGGGACCAAATGGAAAATTTTTGGCAATCCTTCAGTAATAGGGAAAGTATGTTTTGGAGAGATGGTAAAAGCTTGATTATAAATTATAGGAGATGGACACAGAGCTTAAAATTTTAAAAAACATGAAAGCTTTGACTTAACTATGAAAATGTCGCTATCATTCCTTTTATCAGGACAGAATAAATGGCCAAAGGAATTAGCACTTGATGCCTACATGCAGATAAGATCTGTTAGTTTTTGACTATTTAAGATCTCCTAGGCTTTTGTCTATTTCTGTGAGTTTTTAATATATCTGGGGGCAGGGTGTGTAGATATTTATTTATTTTTATTTCGTGAATTTATATAGCCACCCATCTCACATGACTCTGGGTGGTGTACAAGATAAAGATTTTTTTTTTAATTTGAGTCTTTATGTTTTCTATATAACAAAGCAAACTCTGGTCTATTAAGAAAATGAACATCTCTAGTCAGGAAATATACTTATTAGGACCAAATAAAGTGCACAAAGTTTTGAGCAAATTTTCAAGATATCAGGTATTTCCAGGCTTTTTCACAAAATAAGAAATGGAGGGGAGGAGGATGGAGGGAAAGTGATGTTTGCTGCTGTCCTCATGAAGTCAGCATCTTAAATAGGTTAGTCACTCCTAAATGTAATTAAAATGTTTGGTTTTACTTAGACTAATTGTGTAAAACTTCCCAGGCTTTTCTCAACGTGGAAATTGTGGTGAAGCAAACAACTCTTTCAATATAGCAGGCTGCTGTCAAGGCAGAAAAACTAGCCAAATAAATATCCTAAATGTTAGTGAAATGGAGGATGATGTTTTGACATACTAAGTGGGAGATGGTCCTGACATCCTAACTGCAATTCCATTCTTCACAAATAAGGCTTATTTTCAGTGGATCTGGTGTGCATTTTCAGAATTATACAATATTGGGCCGTGCATTCAAGCATACATTATCTCTTGAGGCTGAAGCACAGACATTGCATCCCTTCTGTTTTAATGCCCCAGCTTTCCACTTGTACTAGATTTATAAAATACCATTAAAGCATGGTGGCAATTCCTGAGCTAACCCAAACATGCCACTCATCTTGACAGTTGCAAAGTATGAGTGTGGCTAACCATTTCTGTCATTTGCTTGGAGGCGTGATGACGAATAAATCTTGCAGTTGATGTATTTATTCAGCTGAATTGGACATTTTGATGGTGATGCATTTTTTGTTGGTTTGTTAGGAATACGATAAGGAAGTGAAAGGCTTCGTCTTTGTTCTGGAAGGAAGCAGTCAAACCAACAAGATGCAGCTTCCAAAGGAAACTAAGCAAACTCGTAAGTATAAAAGTATTATAAAATGTCATAAAATATAGTAGGCTGTGCACAGTTTTCAGAACAAGTTCTGCACAAAGTGTATTAATAGGAACAAAACATCCCTTCGTGAAGCTTTAAAGCAGGCTTGCCCTTCAGAAGGTTCGTGTGACTGTTCCCCAGTTGTATGTTTCACTAATGCTGCCAGTGAAATGAATTGACTGTTCAACCACACAAACATGCAGATAGATAGAAAGTGCCTTTGAAGCAGCTGCACAGTCATGCCAAAGGTTGTAGTTGTGTTAAATGATTCTTGCAGAGATGTTTTGATTGCATTAACATGTTTTGTGAAGCACCTTTTTGTAATGCACAGCCTTAGCAGTTAGTTAAATTAGTATTGTGTTAACTGAATAATAGTTGGCTGGTTATAGTTCTAGCTATAGTTCTTCAATATTAAAATTTAAAAAAAAAAAAATTCAGGGTGAGACATGTAGAATTGTTTCATAGCTTCTTTTGTGAAAGCTTTTCTTCTGGATCCATAGCCAGCATGTTTTATGCATATACTACTCTCTCTCGTTCACTACATGCCTTTGTCATCTATAGGACAGCCTACTGTAGCTTTATATTGTGTATCAATGGAGTATATGAATATGCCTGGAATATATACTATTGTAAATTAATATCTCTGTAAATGTAAAAGCATATGTTGTTAAGTGAGCATCAACATCACCAACAGGGTTTTTAAAATATTGTTTCTAAAGTCTTATGTTCAGTTTGAACTAGTAGACCTTTGTCCAAAACATACCAATGGAACTTCATTTCATATAGAAGTGCAAACAGTCTTTTCTCTAATTGCACATAATTCTATTCTGATAAAATCTGAGATTTAGAAGTGTGAGCCACTCATTCCTTATTCTCTTGAAATAATCATGCTCTAAGACTATCCTTTGAGGAGTGTGCCTGTGCTATGACTAGTTGGTTGTTACCAAAACATTGAAGAACGGGTGTGTAACAAAATTATTGTTCCAGTTCATGAAGAGCTGTCTGTCAGTTTTGCCTCTTTTGGGCCATATTTGGACAGATATTCTGCAGATCCTAAAAATATGAAAACCTTGTCTATCTTGCAGTTGGGCCATATCATGTACAGCCGTAGTCTTAACCTCACAAAAGAGAATGCCCTCAGCAGTTAATATGTGGCCCATATATTTTATAGAATTGTATAAATTTAATCTTATCTTTACTAAATTTAATATTTTTAGCATGTATTACTGATGTAAAATTTGATAATATCATCCACTATCATATACACCAGGGACTTGAAAATTTACAAATTTCTTCCCCTTCCAGACCATGCTGAATCTTCCCTGGACCATGCAGTTGTAGGGGTCGTTTAGCAATTTCCAATTTCTCTGGAATGTTCAATTTCTGAATTGGTACATCTCTAATATATACCACTTTTATATTGCCTAAGGCTTCTTCATTTTTTTTGTCTGAACACTTTTTCAGAAAATGTTAAGTTCAAACAACAAACAGTGAAAGTAATATCATCCCAAGGATGTAGTGAAACATGCATAAATGTGATGAATATTCTGACAATGATGAATTTCACCTGACAATACCTATTGTTTTCATCAAGAATAGAAAAACATTTTATGCCTGTAAGATGACCCCAGACCACCTCAGTTGTAGGGATATTGTAACACTAACATTTCACAAACCTTTTTACACCCTGCGAATCCAAATGTATTCTAAACTCTTGATTCTTCTTTTCTGTAATAACTAAACTCTTTGGGAGCTGTAACACTTGGTATCACTGCTGGATTTTCCATTTGGCACATAATCTATCAAGCATTGCCTATCTTTTATATCCATGTATGACAGGAGCCTTCTGCTGGATCAATATGTATATGATAAGGACCTTCAAATTCACCAAGGCCATAAAAAAACATTAGAAAGCAAACAATTGTTCTTGTGTTAAGAGCTCAAATACACTGAAGCCAAAGCTTCATATACTTCCCTTCCAAATACTAGAAGAGAGGAAATTCACATCACAAAACAATAATATAGTTTTTATCTTTAAGGCTTCACATTTAGTAACAATTGTGCATAAAGACTCTTCCATAAGTTATAAGGATTAGGTCATTCTTAAGCAGGCTATTCTTGCCACGCAACTCCCAAAACATTTTCAGTGGCAAAGCTCCTGTATCAAATTTAAATTTCACTTCAATCCCTTTTTAAGTTAAATCAGTAAACCATCCAGCTTTCTGAGTTACATTATAATTCAAGGTCAATCTAATAATTCTTCATTAAACAAATCGCTTATATCTAACCCACGAACACTGTATTGTTTTTCATTACTATTCAGTGACCTGACTTTATATACTTTATGACTTTTTGTGCCCTACTTATGACAGAATTTCTCAAATGCAAAACAAATCCAAGGCTGATTTATTGTCCCACCACACAGACTTATTCGGTTTTGGTTACAGCTGCCTTTAGCTTGTAATTTCTCAGGTTTAAAAACATTTATAGGAGCCTTTTCCCATTTCTTTCCAGTGATCTCTACTGTGGACAACTCCTTGGTGGATGTTAATCTAATTGTCCTTGTTTTGTACAGGGTTTTGGTTACTTCAGCTGCATAGGATAGGGTTAGACTTCTTCAGAAGACTTTCCTTTATTTTTCTGTCTTTTATACTGATTACAAACCTGTCATTGTGTCAACAGGTATTGACTAAAATTCATCATTGATGACCTTTTTGAATTCTATTTCAAACTTTTCTATAGTGTCTCCCAAAATGTGCATATGCTTCCAAAATGAAGAATATTGAAACACAGCATTCCTCCAAGGTGTGCAGTATATTCTAGCCTTTGACAAAAATTCCTCAGTGTAATTTGGAACCGCAGTGTCTAGGGGAAAAAAAATAGTATTATAAATTGTTAGAGCTCCCTCTCCACACGGTGTAACAAGAAATATTTCTTCAACTTACTATTTCTTACAGAAATCCACCATCCTGTTTGCAGCCAAATATAAATGAAGCTTCTGTTCCCAGCATTTCCCGTGCTGGGATAAATTCCCTTGTAATATAAGTGGAAAAGGAGGCCTTGAAGTGTATATATTCACAGGTGCTGCTGCACTAACTCTCCATTCGAATCCAGACAAGTTTCTGATGCTCTTTGATGCTGGCCACTTACTTAAACCCAAATAAATCCTGAAGGAAAGAAATATTTATTACCAGGTTGTACAAAAATAAGCAACAGGAAAGGTTGAAGAGCAAGCAAAGGCAGTAGAAAGAAATAAAAGGGCTGCTTTACACTCACTTATTGTGTCAGGTTTTTGTTAAAGGCACAATACAGCACACTTACAGAAACTCTGGGCATTTTCAGAAAAATGGCTGCCATGGGAGACTTTTGCCTCCTTGCAAGATTGGTTTCAGAAGCGACATGACCAGTCACAAGACATTTGTTTACTAGAAGGACCATTCAAGCCAGTTCTTTAGTTCAGGCTTCTTTCGAACACTTTATCTTTGCCTTTCGTGGCTAGAGGGGTACTTTTTTTGAAGAAAATATTGAGCTACAACCACAGCCAGACAGTAAATTCCTTGCTTTAGAAGAAAAGTGGGACAGAATTATTTTTAAAAAGGGCGTAGTTTAGGCATGCACATGTCCTGTGGATTTAAGAATGAGATACCCCTTTCTATAGAAGCAAATGCAGCAATTTATAACACTTATTTTCTTAATTGAGAAGTTTTCTTGTTGACAAGTTTAACAGGATATAAGAATTTTGTCAACTTGAAAGATGACAGGTAACATCAATGTATTCATTGATGAGGGTCTTTAATCTCTTTCTTTGCTTACTGTAAAAAGAACAGTAATTATCTGTTTCATGTGTTTTTCATTATTGCAAAGTCTGAATTCTTATAAATTGCATTTTTCAGATGTACGTACAAGTTTTGTCGTAGATATGTACCTCACTGTTTTTTTCCTCAAATGTTTATTTTCTCACAATTTCCTTTGTTTGAAAGGACTATCATAAGTCTTTATTGAGTGCCCTCAGTGAACAGTATATAGCTCAACAAGGACAGAGTACATTAATTGTGTAGAATCCCAGCTATCTTTTGTTATGTGAAAATCCTTGTGTTTAATGAATATTGTGCTTTCCAGGTTGTGAAAATGTAGCACCTTCCTTCCTCAACAAGCAGAACCAATACAATTTGACCACTTTATGAATAACTGCTGTTTTAAATATCTTGAATATTTAATATTGGTCTTGAATATCACCTGTGTCGTGATTAGCAATGAGCAGTGTAGTCTTACATGCAGTATACCTGTGGACCTAATGCTTACACGTGGCCTGCGAAAAGGAGACTATAAAGTTCCATAATAAGAACTGGTTGATTTTCCTTTGCCCTTAAATTCATAGGCAAGCCATCCGTATCTTAGCTGAATGAGAGTACTATAGTATGACCTGTGAGCAGAGTTGAGCCCTTTGCATTACAAAATAAGTGCTGGCAAGAGCTGAAAAAAATGTGGCCAAACACTAATAGTGTATTTATCTAGTGTCATTAGTAAGTAAATTGAGAATTCTAGAAATTCAGATGGAAGAAATATTCCGATCTTATAGTCACATCATTGTTTGTCATAATGCCACTATTTATTGGTACAGTATCAATAACAAATGCTGTTGTAACAACACATCAATGTGTAACTTCATATGCAGTAGTTTTCAGTAAATACAGTTATTTTTCCTGTATATAACATTCCTTAAAAATAATCCTAACCCTATGTCAGATTGCATTTTGAAAAGAATCTAGGAAATGGGCCATTTAAATTAATTTAGAAATGGTTATATTTCTGGAAACAAAAATTTAGAGGGATATTTTAAAAAATAGTTGGGTACTCCTGCCATTCTTTCAGACAAGAAGGATCTAACACCATTGCTGTCATGAGGACGGTCTTAATCTGCTCTAAACAGCATGCTGGAAGCAAAATTCAGGGAGAGCTTTTATGTTTGTGGGCAGTGGAAT